CTTTCATAGTGGACCTCTGTACTTTAGTGTTTTCAGCACTTCTTGTCCATTTTGGCTAACACTTATTGGCAAGCATTAATTTACCTTCAGGTTTGGGGCTGTTCCTGGACCCTGAGGCTGTGAGATTTGAAAGAACATAAATACCTAAATATTTATTGCAGCAGTATTTATAACCACCAAGATATGGAAACAGCCCAAGTATCTATCAGTAGACAAGTGGATAAAAAAACTATGGGATATTTACACAATGGAATTCTATACCACCATAAAAAAGAAGAAAGTTTTACCCTTTGCAACAGTATGGATGGACCTGGAGAACATTATGCTAAGTAAAATAAGCCAGTCAGAGAAAGACAAATTCCATATTATTTCACTCACATGTGGAATCTAATGAACAAACTGACTAATAAGCAAAATAGAGACAGACTCATAGATAGAGAGCAGGATGACAGTCAGTGGTGGGGAGGTCATGGAAGGAGCAAGCAAAAAGGAAAAAGGACTCATGGACATGGACAATGGTATGGGGCTTGCTGGGGAGAGGGGGTATAAGGGGACTAAAAGGTAATGGGAAAAAGTACAATAAAGATTAAATTTTAAAATATTAAGAGTAAAATAGAACCAGAAGCATGGAAATAAAGAAGAAACTGACAATAACCAGAGGTAAGGAGGGAGATAATGGGAGAAAGAAGGGAAAGGGTCATGAAGGAACATGTATAAAGGACCCATGGACAAGGACAACTGTGAGTGGGGGAGGATTCAATGTGGGAGGTGGGGGTGGGTAGGGCAGAGAAGAGTAATAGGTGAGGGGAAATGGGAACAACTGTAATTGAACAACAATAAAACAAAAAAAGAAGAAAAAGTCTTCCCAGAAGACATTATTCTTGAATTGGACCTTGACAAATAATTTAAAGGTACAACATATATATGAGAGAAGTTTTCATAAGAACAACATAAAATATACATTTAAATGTTATCTAAACATTTTGGATAAATGTAACCATCATGAAAAATGTACAGTTCTAGCTCATATGAGGCCTTAGTGCCTAACAACTATTATTATTATTTGCAATATTAATAAAAATATGGGACGTTCTCTTTCCAAAAAGATCAAGAAAATATGGCTGCTAAATGGTAATGGGTACTAAAGAATTTACTTCTATTTAATTTGTGTTTGGGATACACATGAAGCAAATAGATTATCAGAATGTTGGTATTTTAAATGAATCAAGAAACAAGCATATAAATACTTTTTTGATAAGCCTAAAAAAAAGAAAAGAAATCAGGACCACATACCAATGAGCAGAATGCCTGTGAGAGTCCCTGTAACAATGAGCTCTTTGAGCTGAGGAGACTCGAGGTGCTTTGTAAATGCCAGGTTATTTTTATATACTTCATACTGAAGATGCTCCCAAAAGGTCAAGCATTAGTCCAAGAGAACGGAATCTTGAAAACCCAAATATTTTCAGCTTTCAATGGATCAGACCCATTCACTTGGAGGAAGCATACCATCTTCAGATGCAAGAGAAGGAAAATTTTTCATGATCTTTCTATTTTTGGCAAATTAAATGCCTTTTATAATTTTACAAGTTATAATATAAACAAGTTGTATGTGTATGTACATGTAACCTTTATATTTTTGTTCACATCTAGAAAAAAGTTATGTGCATGCATATTATGACTACTTCATATAAAAGAAATACATGGATAAGAAATTCTAAAATCTGTGAAATATCCAAATAGTTTGTTCCAATGACTCGTTTCTTAGCCCACCTGACAGCCTGGCATCAGGAATTATTTTGTTATGGCTGTCTTCCATATAGACCCCTGCATGCTTTATTTTCCAAAAAGAGTTCAGATAACTACAAGCAAGTTCCCATAGCCAAATACTTCTTCCTCTTTATGACATGGAAATTTTTTTAAGATTTTATTGCCCTGGATTTTAAAAATAAAATCGTCTTTAAAAATTTTTATTTATTTATTTTTAGAGAGAGAGGAAGGGAGGGAGAAAGAGAGGGAGAGAAACATCAATGTGTGGTTGCTTCTCAAGTGCTCCCAACTGGGAACCTGGCCTGCAACCCAGGCATGTGCCCTGACTGGAAGTCGAACTGGTGACCCTTTGGTTTGTAGGCTGGCACTCAATCCACTGAGCCACACCAGCCCAGGCTGGAAAGGTTTTTATAGCTTAACAAACTGGGTCACGGCCCAAGCCTTAGACTTCTCCCTTCTTATGGTGACAAGTGAACACTTAACCTTACCATGCTGGGGAGTCAGAGTTCATGTGGGTCAATCATGATCTGAAATTTTCCTGGAGAGGCCAGGATGGAGATGGAAGACTAGTTAGCAGTTAACATTTTAGAAACACTACAGCAAGTTTTCATCCAACCTCTGGATTTCTCTTTCTCTTCGAGCATACTAGACAGTGATTTCTAACTAATAATATCAATTTGGCAAACAGTGATTGAATTCAGAGCAAATCGCACTGCTTGAAATTGGGAATATGTAGACGAATTTTTAAAATCTTTGCCCTCGAGGAGCTATTAGTTAAGTGGATTGCTCAGACAGTACGTAACTAACTAAATTGCTATTCAATGCAGTAACAGATTGAAACAAATTCCTAAAGCAAGCCCAAAGGAAGGAAGAATTCATTCTGACTCAGGGCCTTAGGAAAAGCTTCATGAGGGAGTGGGGCACTTCTCTTGAATAGGGTCAACGAACATTCAGGTTGTCTGGGACAGCCCAGTTTGTGCTATTATCCGGGCACAATTGTGACACTGCACTATCACTCTCAAAGGTTTCTTCTGGAAAATAAATTGTGTGAGCACTCTGGTATTGAAGCATACATAAGATATTGGCATGGAGAAGGAGAAGGGAAAGAATTTCACGTAAACCAAACAGCAGGGCAAAAAGCATGGTGGAACAAAATCAACTCCATGGTGTGTCTAGGGAAAAATCTCTTCAGAAAATCTTCCTTTTGTGTGCTCAAAAGAGGGCCTTCCCCTGCTCCCTTTTCTTTTGCCATGTGGACTGAAATGGGAGGGTGTCCTATAACAACTGTCATGGACCTTGTATTTGCATGTTTAACTTATTTTTCTTTCTAGAAATGTCACTACTGTGCAGCACAAAGCTTTTCCGATATTTTTTTCTCATTTTCCATTTTCACTTGATCAGACAGTTTCATTTCTGGCAAAGCGCTATTTTCACATCAGAGAGAAAGACAGGGAAATACCAATTTGTACATTTCATTTTCTGCCTTCCAACCAATGAACACTAAATCAGAACATACAATGTGCTTGAAGTTTGCCTGTACTTTCCAACAAACAAATGTTTAAAGATAAAATGACCAAAATTAGAAAGATATTATTCTTGTCATTATAAGTATTCAAGGGGGATATGCTGATATAATAAAATCTTAAGTAACTTACTTAGTTTTAGAACAATAGGTTTACATGATTATTTTTTGTGTGATAAAGTCAATTTCCGATAGAAAACTTCTCTTAGGTATTTTTTTTAACATAAAGGTCTTAAATTTAGAACAAAGAAACAATATCTATCTTTATTCATAAACATATATTAAAAATAATACAGCCATCAACTAAGCCATTCCAACAAACACTGGAAAACTCCATCTTGCTCATCAAACAAGAAAGCACAATAACTTGATTTTCAAGATTTGTGAATGCCCCCACACTTTTTGTCTTAGCCATTTGGGATCACTCGAAGAGCTGAAACTACCAATTCTATGCCTAGTACCGAGAGTCTATAGAATCTGGAATACAAGATGCTGTGAAAAAATGGAGAAAGGGCATCAGTAGGAATCCTTTAAAGAAGATGATTGAGGAGATGAGGCAGAGCCAGCTCTGCCCTCCTCTGTCCAAGTGCCACACCGCCTCTCTCTGAAGCTGCCTCCCAGAGCTGCCCCTTGCAGGCAGGAACTGAAGTGCATGTTGCAGCTCTCTGCACCTTTCCTAGCCCAGTGTGGTGTCCAGGTTTCCCATGGCATGAAACTTGTATCCCATTCCACAGCTTTTTTCATGAGAAGATAATATGAGGTTTATTAATCCTCAGTGAGGGCTTCTAAAAGTTTTGAAATTATCCTAAATGTCCACAAACTTAGGAGGAACATTTACGTGTGACACAGTTATCTAATTACTCTAATTGTTTTGACTTCACATGAGTATAACATAACAATGAACTCATTTGAAGATGCTATTTTGGTGAAATAACCAGTAATCTTTTCCTTTCCTCTTTTGGCCTTCACCCTCTCTTACCTTGACTCCAGTACTTAGTTTTCTGACTGATCTTACTACTGCCTCTAGTCTCTTCCCTCTTTGATTCATTTCTGGGCTGCTCCCCAAATGATTCTTCTAATGCATGACTTGATTACATCCTGTTCAAAGCTTTCTGATAGCTTCCAGTAGACCAGGACAAGGCTGTAGTTAACCTGAAGCATGGCATTCAAGGCTGTGAACAATTATCTCTGTAACCTTGTACTCTTTCTGTTTCACACATGATGCCTCTGCCGAATTGCAGCCTGGTGAACTTGCCCTCTTCATTAAGCTTCCTTGACTCCATGACTGAGTCAGAATTTCCTGTGCATTACCCCAGCAGTGGCTGGGTACTCTCATGGGCCTAATGTTATTGGATGTCTTGTTCATCGAAAGATCACCATCATTGCTCAACTGACTGCCTGGTATGTGTATTGAGTAAATTAGAAAAGGTAGCTGAACTAGTTCCCATTTGGCTAGAGCTTTCTTAAATTAAAGCCACTGGTCCTAACAGGCTTTATTGGCTCTGCATCATCACCTGTATGTTTGAGGCTGTATTTGGCTGACATATATTCCCACAGATAGGCAACATGAGAATGTATGTGCACAAGTATGTCAAAGCCAAGATATACAGGGTCCCTCTAAAGCCGGTCAGGTAAAATAAACTCAATTTTGTTAGATGAACACACAGACTGCCACAAATCACTTTCATATAAATATGTTTTATTGCAGAGATGTTATAAGTATTTACATGCTGCAACATGTCACAACATAAATTTACCAAATATTTTATGGTGGGATGCTGTAGGTTTCAGATAACAGTTTCAAAAGAACCACAGATTAAGTGAAGAGACTTACAGTTTTATTGACTCTACAACTCTCGGTTGCTAAATGCTAGAAAGTCAAAAGGCAGTGTTTTTTTTCAGTCCTACCTGTCACCACTTGCATGCAGAAACCTATGAAGCAAATACAAGAGAACTGTCGAATTTCAAGTCCATATTGCCACCAAAGTTTACACTGGGTTGAGTTATAAGTCATGTCGTAAAGCATTTAATTCTGGCATAAAATATACAGTTCTATTAAATTGGTATAAATCTACTTAGTTATAAACCCTGGCTTAAAAATAAGGACAGGATGCAGCCTGCACATGCATTGAGAAGGACAACCTAGGAAATGTTTGTGACCTCATTGGTGCTCATTCACTTTCTTATCATCAGTCTGGGAAAACAACCTCAGGAAGTGTAGATTTAAACTTCTCTTGGTGATAAGTAATGGCAATGAAACTCTAGGAAAGACCTAGGCACTCTCACTGATTTATGCTGGTGGAGGAAAATCTATAGACTACGGTATCATTTGGCAATTTTTTTTTAAGCCACACCTCTAGCTGGATTAACCTGAAGTGCAATAAAGTCATTGATGCTTGACTGTTTATGTCTCAAAAAGTGAATACAGTGCCAACAGATCTCAGACATAAATTAAACAAGTAGGTGGGTCTGTAAACTGGTATACAAATATACCTTAGAGTTATATTTCTAAGTTACCAAGTAGATAGGCCTTGATTGAAAAGGAAGGGAAGAAAAAATAAATGAAGGAAGCACACAAAAAATAGAATTTCTATCTCTTCACACCGACCCCACCAACCTGAGTAATGCACAAAGTGAGGAAATGGGTGAGGGTGATATGTGCACAGCTTTGTAAAATGGTGAAGTGCTCGCTTACTCCTCAATAAAAATTGTTGAGAAAATTTTGATGATGAATAAGAAGAAGTCCTAGCTTTTACTGTCCACCAAGAATGATATTCTCCAAGAACAGCCCTGCATCCACCTTCCATTCCCTTTCTCATCTTTTATCCAAATGAAAAAGTCACTTAGTCTGGAAATGTCCTGGCCAAATAAGCTGTTGAGACGTCAGTGTTTAGTACTGGAGAAAGGGAGGTGGGTTCTGTGTTTAAGAGACACATCTTTAAATACAATGGGACTGAGCTTTTTAATGGAACCTCCTTCTGTGGTCACATCAGTAGGGCTAAGTCAGAAGCTCAGGATTTTCATGCCACGTGATCAGTGTGGACTGCAACAAGTTTTATAAAATATGCTTTGGGGGCTGTTTTGCTTTGCAAATAAACCTCTGCACTTTAAATTTTGCACTAGGTGGCTCACAATGACAATTTGCAGGACACATAAGTTTTCCAGTGCTTGGGAGAAGGATGAGCTGGCACCACCTTATAGGCTTGGAATAAATCGGGTTATAAGTTTCTTTGGGATTTGAGCCCAGCAAGTTCTACCCCTAGCTGAAGCAATGAATAAGAGTTTATGAGAATAAATAGTTTAAGGTCATTTAAAATATTATATATTTAGTATGCACAATAAAAATACATCCATTTAATAATCTTGATGCTATCATAATTTATCTCTTTAAAAAAATAACACCTTGAAAGTGCTATCAGGAGCTCCCTTTCTATCTGTTTTGAAAGGCAAATTTCCTGGCTTACAGTACTGCTGTAATTCTCATGTCATTCTTAGTGTCTTCCCTTTCCAGTGATAATATTAATGCACAGTATATTCTTCTCACTCTTAGCTTCTTCCTTATGAAATGCTGCTAAGTATGAAATACTGAAAGAGTTAAAAGGGACAATTAGTTGAAATGAAGGCATTATCTATTTCTGATCTCAAACAATAGATAAGTTGTCCTTAACTTATTGAGACATAAAACTATGTAGGACCACTTGATCTCTGATATTAATAAAGCTTCTGAGTCCTAACAAGAAGTGCAAAACAAGTAACTTAACTTGTATTAAAAACCCTGATTAAGACAGTATTACAAACCATGATGTGAAATAATAGTTACTCTAAATTTGCAATATATAAATCACAGCCAAAACTAAGAGATTTTATCATAACAATTATGACTTCCCAAGCTAGAGAAAGCTTACTGTACTTCAAGAATCAACTAAAGTTGATAGATCGCAGGTATTCTGTAAGTTGCAAGAACAATTGAGTAGCTGTAGATTGCATAAATGTGTGTCACATAGTATCAAAGTTATTTGCAAAAATTATACAATCTGGAATGCTTGAATATGAGACACAACAATGTACTGAAACATACATTTATAAGAAAAATGAGAGAAATCATTAATATAAAAGATATTTTTGGGATGCATTAAGTTAGCAGTGTTATCAAGGTTATATAGGTAGAGTAAGTTCTTTTCAGTCAGCTACTTAGAATTTCATTTATACCTTCTTTGCAAATATCATACCTTTCCTGTGTCTTCTGGCTTGCCTTGATTAGGATCTTCAAAGTCCTGTGGGTAAATATTGATCAGGGGAAGGTGTTGTGGGCTACTTCCTCTAAACAGGCTGAAATGTAAAGGTTTTCCTAGTGTTACCAGGGGAAAGACTTTTTGGCCAGTCTAACTTCTCCATGATGATATTTCTCTACTCTCCTCAGTCGTCTTCTGACTTTCCATGCCTTTCATATTTCCCCTGATTGGCAAATACTCTTTGGAATTTTTGATCCTTATATATTCTGTCTCATATCAAATTCAAGTTTTCCTCCTTTTCTTTCTGGGGATGCTGCACTTTGAAGGTATCCGAGACCTCTTATTTTCGAGGTTCTGCTATCTGATTTGCATTTAAAGCCAAAGAGGCAGGTAAAGCTACATTACTTTCAGCATTTGGTTGATCTGGTGACTCAAACTCCCAAGGACACACCTCAGCTCGTGATGTTAAAGGCTGCTGAAAGTTATTACTTGAATTATAGGAAGATGTCTTTTTTTCCTGGTCTCCTACTTGGTTAAGATTTTCATTCTCTACTTTTGATGCCACAACTTTGGAGGACAGTTCTTCATATTGCCCAGCACACACATTGGCTGCATAATGCTGACCACCTTTCTCATCTTTTGCCCTCCCTGGGGGCGCCTGAGTCTTAGATATCAAATGCTTCTCATCTTCATAAAGGGGCTGACCTTGGTTCTCCCAAGGGCAGACCTCGGCCTTGTCTCTGCTCTTCTGATTGGATTGCTGACATAGTTCAGTTGCCTTAGGCTTGTGTTGAGATTTCTCCTTTAAGGAAAATGTTGGGTTTTTCTCCATTTCAGAAGCCGCAATAGATACGTGCTTTTGAACTTTTGATTCTGAAGGCACAGGACCAGGAGTCAGGTCATAAACCTCCCAAGGGCACACTTCCCCTATGTCAAAGTTGTCCTTCATCTCAGTGGTATATGGGCTCATGTCAGAATTGGCAGTGGGGAGGTTGGACCTTTGTTGCTTCATAATTCCAGATTTCTGAGGTTTTCCTGGCTCCTCCAAATGACTGGAGTTTTGAGGAACAGAATCTTTATTCTCTGTATTATCTGAATTTGAGTATTTTCTGTTTGTCTCTTTATCTTTTGGCAGAGGTTTCTGGGATTTAGCACGTTCTTCCACACCTGACGTTTGGGTTTTCCCAGCTAATCCAAGAGTCTTTTCCTTGGCACTTGCTATGACACTGAGAGACTTCTGCAGCATGGATGTTCGTGGGTGGCCCGGCTTCTTCTCTGAGCTGAGATTGTGAGCACTTGCTGACTTACACACCAAAGGCACAGACTCTGTGGACTCAGCCTCGCTGTTTTCTTTCAGTGTTTGTGTTAGTTTTGTACCTGACAGAGACTCCAGTGTGGAATTTTCTGTAGCCTCCTCTTCTTGGCTCTCAGTAGGTAAACTGTTGGACTCTTCCGTTTGGTCTCTTACATGATCGTAAGTGCTATGGGATTTCTTCAGCGAGAAGACTCGGTTTTTCAGGGACTCCTCCTTGGGTTTCCCGGTATTACCTGAAGACTCTTGAGGGTTCTTCCTACCGAGGGCAGTGCTCTTGGTTGTGCTGTGCTCTGTGACTTCCTTGTCCTCTTTGGAACATTGTCTGCTGACTGTCTCTGGGATCTCAGTTATACGCCTCATGATTGAACGACCTAACCCCTTTTTCGAGCACCGTTTTTTCTGGAGGTGGGGGTTATTTGTGATCATCTTCTTCCTTTTATATATTTCCAACTGAGCATAGAGTTTCTTCAGTTCATCCTGCCAGAACAAGAACACATTCACAGAGGTGTGGAACTTAGTGTTTCAGCCAGATAATATCATTGAAGGTCATTTGAATTCAATAAGCTTGAGCTCTTTAAGGAAATCGTTCTACAGGTCTTCCTAACATTTCTCCTCATCAGCTTACTCTTCATTCTTACTGTCTGATTACTTTGTGTTTTATTTCACATAGACTTGAAACTTTAAGACCTGAACCCATGCATTCTAGCCTTGCTTCCTGGAGCAAGCACTTTGGACTTTCACGTTGTGTGGGCCAGACTGAGCCTGGACCATAGTAAAACACAGCATACTGCGTATTGATCAACTTTATCCACGGAACAATATTGGAAGCATCATGTAGCCATTGATAAACTTCCACCTAATATTAGATTAGGTTCAGGGGACAATATATCACCAAATACTCAAAGCATCTTCTTCCTCCAAATGCTAACATGTTGTCACAGATTACTTTAAGTAATCCAGGCTCTCTGCTCACAGATCTACCTTACCTTTCCATCAGCAAAATGTCATAAACAATATTATGGACATGTACAACAAGTTCATCATTGTGACTGCCAATAAGTCAGTTGAGACTATCAAGATTGGCCAGTGTATTCTAATTTATATCATGATGATACATCTTGGAAGAAGATTAAGTCTGCATTTGATGTCTTCATTTCTTATGTAAAGAAACATTCTCTCATTTTCTTTCTTTCTAATACACATATGCATGCATGAGCACACATATACATCTTGTTATACAGAACACACACATGCTTGCCTGTATAAATGGGACCAATCTGAAATATGAAAAATACTGGTATTACCCGAATGTCCTCTGGATCCAAGCTGTGCTCACTCCAAGCTGAGTTGATACTGCTGTTCAGGTAGGATCCAGACCGGCCCATGTCTAGCTCATCCTCATACGCTTCTGTAGCAATGTCATCTCGTGGATTATTGCTTGAATGTGAAAACTGCAATAGATATTACACATGAGCTCTAGATATTATCCCAGTAAGACACAGAATTTTAATAATAATTTTTAAAGCCTCTAATGTTAATATCATTTCCTCAACTTAGATGAATTTGTTCACTGACCTTTTTACAAATGACTGCTGCTATGCTTATGTTATGCTTTCCATATTACACACTGATGAGGTGCTTGGTTCCCTCTTTGACTTTTTTCTAGGCTCCTGCTGTCAGCTGACATTACTCCTTTTCCACAATATTTGTACTTTGAGCATGAGAATTAGTACAAGAACCCAAAGAAATGCTCTCTGCGGGTAGCAATTTAGACCTACTGGAAGTTGTATGGGAACACTTTTTTGAGCAGTGGGGCCCATCACAAGTTTGTCATTTTGCTTCAATAGGGGAGGCTGTATTTCATCTCTGCACCATTGGTCCTGATTATAGAATGTGACTTTCAGTCGACTACACATAGCTTTAAAAAAGTCTACTTTCAAAAGGTGAAGGAATTAAGAAGTACAAATTGGCAGTTATAAAAATAGTCATGGGGGTTCAAAGTACAGCACAGGGAATATAGTCAATAATATTAATAATATTGCAGTAACTATTTACGATGCCAAGTGGGTACTAGACTCATCACTTCATAAGTTATGTAAATGTCTGATCTGAAAGTAATATGATATTGTATGTCAACTGTAATTAAAAAACATTTAAAATTATTTTTTAAAAGTCTTCTTTTAAGACTTAGGAACAGGAGGTATGAATTCCAGCCTCAATAGTATTCACAGTGAGACTTTAAAGAAGTCATGGAGACTCTCCCGGGCAGTGCCCTCTCACCCTAAGTAGCTCGGGGCTAGATGGTATCTAAGTAAGATTCACTGAAGTTACATAATTTTTTCCTTAAACTCATTATTCTCATTACTTCTTCATCACTCTTTGACATATTTTTATTATTTTCATGTGGTGTTTTGATATTTTTCAGTTTCACATACTCTTGCTATCTCTATTCTTCAAAAGGAGAAGTGGGGAAGAGTGGATTGGGTAAACGATGGAAAGCACAGAGAATGAAAACGACCCAGCAACTCTTTACGCAATAGATAAACCAAGTGATTGTCCTAGGAAAATTGAGAGAATGGTTTAGAGAACATGGATCTGTTCTCCCAGCTTGTCATCAGGTCAAATATACCTTTATAAAATTAACAAATCACCCTTTGACAGAAATATTTTAATGTCAATGTTCATTCAAATATTCAGCAGGCACATGAGCATACATATGAGGTAACATGTGAAACAGTAATTCTATACTTCAGTAACAATGAATGTTTTGTAATTGGTACTGGCTGAAAAACCACAGAAACTGATGAATTTTTTCTTCACTGTTGTACTTATGTTTGTGGTCCTAACATGTGTCATTAACTTAAGGCCATAAAGAAGAATAAAACAGAGTCCCTGTCCTCCAAAATCGCACATGCTACTAGTTAACCACCTGGACCTTATGTATAAGAATGGAGTTGTTTTTTTTTTTCTTGAGCAAAGTCTTAGAGACTATAATAAGTTTAAGAAATAGGTAATTTTCAGATATTGTCCATTTTCTGCTTTATTATTTTCTTTTGCATTTATCTCTATCTAAAATACTATTTCAAATATTTATCTTATTTATCTTTTGTTTCTCCACCTTGTCCTCCAGAATATAAGCAACAAGAGAGCACAGACTTTTATCTGTTCATTATTCTTGTTCTAGGATCTAGAAAAGCACTTAGCAAACCCCCTCAAAATTTTTTTAAATGATCTGTTATTGAGATGTAATTCACATACCATAAAATTTTCAACTTAAATTATACAATTCCATGTTTTTTAGTATATTTATAAGGTTGACTTACAGAATATTTTCATCACCCCCAAAGAAACCTTGAACTCATTAAGCAACCACATCCTCCCTACCCACCCTACCCCAGCCCAATACAACCACTTAACTGCTTTCTGTTTCTATAGAGTGCCTTGTCTAGATATTTGACATAAATGGAATCATATAATATGTGGCCTTTATGCCTGGCTTCTTTGACTCAGCATAATGTTCTTAAGTTTTACACAGATTATAGCATGTATCAGTGCTTGATTCCTTCTTATTGATGAATAATATTCCACATATGGATATACCACACTTATTTATACATTTATTAGTTGATAGAAATTTAGATTATATCCATATTTTGGCTATTATGAATAGTGCTGCTATGAATGTTCATGTAAAAATTTTTGTATGAATCTATGCTTTCAATTTTCTTTGAACCTCAACAATTTATTGAATGAATGAATAAAATAGTCTGGTATATATCCATCTAATGTCATCCTATTATACAAAACAAAAATGGTTAAGATAAGGTACAGTAACTGACTAATCCATGAAAACTGTGGCTATTTAGTGTAATTCAAATAAGGAAAAATAGGTATTTTCTTTGTTTATAATCATTTGGCCTTTTCAATCAGGCTGCATTTCAATGTTTGGTAAAGCCTGGGAGTGGCAGTAAAGCCTGGGGTGAAAGACAAGAAATCTCAGTTCTCGTTTCAGCCATGCTAATGTTGTAGTGTATGGCACTGATAATAACTGATCCCTTCATAAGGTATACAAATGTCTAATCAATATGTCATATACCTGAAACTAATATAATATTGTATGTCAACTACTACTGAAAAATAAATATTAAAAAAGATATATAATGTTCTACTATTTTGTTGTTCTATGTATAAAAGAGGAAAATAAAGATAATGCTATAATTTGTATAATCTTTTTTTTCTGTGATGTCATTTTATTTCATTCCAGGTAACCTTACTGCTATGATGTCATAGATGAGAAATCTGAAACTCAGAGAGGTAAAAGAGTCTTGGTTAATGTCCTATTATACACTTAGTTGGGATGAAGCATGAGTCAGATTCCATGTATTCTGAGTCATGTCCCATTCTCCGTAATTCATTATGCTGCCTATATAAGTTTTGTCATAGTCTATTATTAAGCAAGACTCTACTATGCGCAATGTTGTAGTTATTTATTTCTATTTAAATAAAATTCTCTGAATGTTTAAAAGAATATTTCTCTGAATACAAATCCAAACAAGAGAATTCTTGGAAGAGTAGACTTCTTTTTAAAAATGATTTTTATGTAATAGCTATAATGAAAGCCATTTTGAACCCATAATAATGAAAACATAACTAGATATTGAAATACTTGGAAAAGGATTGAAAATGATGGGTTTTGTACAAATTAAGTCACTTATCAACTATATGAGATAGTTGATAAATTCCAAAAGAAAACAGACAGCTAGTTTCCTGAGGAGAGAGCTTTAAAAACATTTCAGATGTCAAGCAAATCTCCACACCTCTTTTTGCTTGTAGTGAGAGATATTTTTAAAGGAGAAACTATTGGAGGCTCATGTGAGATAACTGTCTTGCAAGAGAAAAGTAATGATGGAGGAATACCTTTGGAATCAGAAGCAACCCAATAGTGACTGTCACAGTCAAATGAGTATGTGCAAAATACAGCATCAACATCCAATCAGACTGAAGCCTTGAGGCAAGAACAAATCTGAAATGAGAATTTACCAAGTTAACAATCTAACAAGTACTCTACTTAAAACACCAGAAACATGGAAAGTCCTTATCTCAGTGTACTAAGAAAAAGAAATAAGGGAAAAAGAAAGATGGGAAAAAAAGTTATATTGCTGTTTCTGTGACATATATTTTCATCACAGAAGAATAAGGGCCTAGGTAACCTTCATTGGATACACAATATATAAAGTCTATTATTCATTATTTTAAATTATTCATAATTAGAAAGAGAGCACATAAATATATATAGTACTAAGCATTTCCTCAGATTATCATGTATTATATAAAATGAATCTGCAAAGCAAAAGTAGCAACATGTCAATTCAATAAAAAAGTTGTTACAAACTGGTGGTTCTGGCAAATTTGGGTTTTAAGACATGTAAATAACTCTTGAATCTAATATTCTTTGTTTAAAAACATTAATTAGAATTAAGAATAAAAGAGTGTGAAATTATATGTCTTTGTGAATTGTCCCAGAGGTTTAAATGGTAATCAATGTTATAAATGAAATGAATATAGTAATGGTTCATAAAATATATCTTTTAAAATATAAATTCTATTTGCTTTTATAAAGCTTCAAATTATTTGAAAATAATTTAACACATAATATCTAAGATATTATGTTACTGAAGAATTTATAAAGTTGTGTTCCAGCATAGCCGTGTAGGAAAAATTCAGTACTGATATCTACTCTGGTAATTTTGGAATATTTTCATAAATCAATAGGTATTTATAAAGTTGTGTTCCAGCATAGCCATGTAGGAAAAATTCAGTACTGATATCTACTCTGGTAATTTTGGAATATTTTCATAAATCAATAGGTATTTGTTTTCATAAATCAATATTTTCATAATCAATAGGTATTTTCATAAATCAATAGGTATAGGAAAAATTCAGTACTGATATCTACTCTGGTAATTTTGGAATATTTTCATAAATCAATAGGTATTAAAACTCATGTTTTAAGGGCTCCTTCTTATGCAGAAACCACTTTTTGCTTTTATTAAGGTCATTTTGCAATCACAGCCTTCTTTTCATTTTTCCCATCAATTGTTATCCATGAAAGTTAAATATGTGATGTTACTGCTTTTGAAATTAGAAAACTGGCATTTTGTTTCAATGATATACATCATCAAATGTGAAAAGCTAACATCGTAGGAAAAAGCTCATGATATGATCATAAAACAAACATATATGAATATAAAAATAGAAAGAAATAATTTTTATATCTGCACCATACATTTTTGTGACAAATTTACTAAATAAATTAATATTATAAATATTTCAAACAAAATTTTCATCAAGAGGTTTCTTCCTTATTTTTACTTGCATTCTGTCCCTAGTTACATGACTCACTCCCACCGCCCCCAAAGTCCATCAAGCTAAAATGGAAGCTCAAAAGTTATCCAAAATAAAGACATATTTTCCCCTATGTCTGGAGACATAAACAAAATAGACTCAAAACATACATTAGAAGTGCAGAATACTCATGATCCTTCACATGACAAATTGAACTATCATATATCCCAAAACGAATTTCTGAATTGCCATCTTCTTTAACTCCTTTGTGAGAGAAGTGGCCATATACCTGCCTTGAATATGACTTAACATTCACATTGTTCAGGAATAAGATAGTCTGTGCTGGGTCAGGTGAGATTTTTTAAAAGCACTGAGATAAAATCATTGCACTCAGTAGCAAGGTACAGGGTCTAAGGCTTAGAATTGAGGCGCAGAAGCAATATAAAATGTGCCCCAGAAAAACAGTACAATCCCAGCTTGCTGGGGCCATTGCCAGCACTGGCCAGACAGTGGCATCAAAGGAGATGGACCGGCAATCTAAAAGCATGCTCTCAAACGCTAGTACAGATAAACTTCTAACTAGCTTGACAACAGCCAGAAGAATGGTTACATATTTTTAAGATGGCGAATCTTCCAAAAGATAATTTTGACATGTACTGACATCAATTATTTTTAAATTAATCAACTTTTAGTTATTACCAGGGTTTTCAGGTTGCAGCTCTGACTAGAAATATGTTTTAAAAATTGGGTTTTTCAGTAGTTTGAAAGCTTAATTTTTAAAAAAGAGCATTTCAACTTAAAAAAGTAGGTTTAAATTTCAGATGCATAGAAATATTTGAAGATTGAATTTAAGAATAAAAGCAAGCCCTGGCTGGCGTAGCTCAGTGGATTGAGCGCGGGCTGGGAACCAAAGTGTCCCAGGTTCGATTCCCAGCCAGGGTACATTCCTGGGTTGCAGGCCATAACCCCCAGCAACCACACATTGATGTTTCTCTCTCTCTCTCTCTCTCTCTCTCTTTCTCTCTCTCTCTCTCTCTTTCTCTCTCTCTCTCTCTCTCCCCCTTCTCTCTCTAAAAATAAATAAATAAAATCTTTAAAAAAAAGAATAAAAGCAAAGTTTTAAGAAATCTGGCATTTTATCAAAGGTTTGCTTTATGCTTAGTACTAAAAATAAGAAGAGGATTAACACAGACTGAGCAAAACACTCTCTGCATAACTTACCCCTCTAGACTTAATCCTTGTGATTTACATTTATTTAATCTGACAATGTTATAAGAAAGTACATGTATATATAATATGTAGTCATAATCTTTATATATGTATGTATATGTGAAAAATTACCAAACTAGATCCTGATTTAAATTATTCTGTTATTTTTTATTATACTTGAACTATATCAATATTGGAACCAAACAAATATAAATTCAGTTCATGTGTAAATAAGAAATTGTGTGTACTTGATTTAATTATTGCTGCCTATTGTTCCCCACTCATTCCCCTAAAATCAGTGCTCTGTAGATTTACTTTGTTAAGCTATAATTCCATCCTTGGTTCTTTATGGTCACATATATTAAATTTCCAAAAGAGCATAGTTAATATACAGTATGGGGCAAAATTAGGTTTACAGTTGTGAGTATGCAAAACAGTTTATTCTTTAATTATTATTTATTAATTATTATATTATTTTCCATATAAACAACCATAAACCTACTTTTGCTCCACCCTGTACATGATTCTTTGAAGCCAATATGCCACAATCAAATCAAGTCTGGTCTATGTAGAAAGGTAAGTCAGATTTGGAACCTAAAATGTAGGGTTCCCCCTCAGGTGTGTTTAGGGTCCTCAAAGAAAATACCAAAGCCTACCAGGCCTGGTCATTCTGGTACCATTGGAAGTCCTCCCTATTCAAATGATAGGGGCCACATAGCTTGAAAGAAAATTGATCCTGTGAGGATGCTATATCTAGTTAACACCAAATCTACCAAGTGCAATATGAATAATTCAATCAGAGTTTTGTCTCCATGAATTCAGCTCATAATTTATAGAGTTCTTTTTGCTGAGACTGTGTAGGAAGATTTAAGCAAATGAAAGAAGGTGTTTTCAATGAGTATTTAACATATGTTTCCTATCACCTTGGCCCAATATTAAAACAGTATTTATTATCTGAAGTGTGGCTAAGGGTCAGATGTCAGCTGAGGGGTGGGGGTACTCCATGGTCAATTGAGTTTGGAAAAGGCTGGTTAAACAAAGTTAAATAAATCCACTATGTCAGAGCTTCTCGGTATGCTAATTTGTATTGTGACCTTCATAAAAGGGAGGTATTAAGTGCACTGTGTCATAAATATGCACATGCACATAAAAACATAAAAAAGTGATATACTAATATGTTAACAGTGCTTATCTTTGGGTGGTTGGGTTAGAAAATATCTTTTTCAATCATTCTATGATTTTTATAATGACTATTTATTGTTTTATTAAGGACTTGTTAAAAACTTATTAAAAATCAATTTACCTTACTGACTTCTGAAAAGGAATGGGCCACTTAAGAGTTTAAAATCCATTGAAGAAAACATATTGGATGATGAAAATTGAATAGGGTAAATCAAGGAAGGAAAGGATATAGATCAACTTAGGTAACTGCTGTGAACAGATTTAATTTCTTGGGCAATTAATTTGTTTCCAAGAAACACAGCAGGTAATTATAGGTCAAATGTGGGAAACCCTCTGAGTGGCATTTACATTCTGACAATAGAAGGAATTTTAACTCATCTATAATAAGCCTTCTTGAATAATTATAACTCTTTAGGTGGCTTGTTAATGTAACATTTAATTTATAAATGGTTTTACAGAAGAATGCTAGTTAGATCTTGAAAGACATGTGCTTGATATCCTGCAAACAAACCACCAAAATGCAGCTTTTCCTGGGAGATGGTTCTGGAGAGTAGTCAAGGCTGTGGAGCTCAGGCACCAAGACAGCGTGGACTCCGGTGTTCACTGCATTTTGGACTAGGGGCACCTACTCTCAGAGTCTTTACTCTCTAGTTCATGTAGAATTGAGCAAGCACTCTTCTCCTTGTCTATTTATGATTTCGTATCTTGCTTCTCATCCTTTTTCCCTCTTCTCCTCTAGAAAGCTCTCCTCTTTCTCTCTTGTGAGAGGGCAAGACAAAGCAGGAAGGCAAATTCCCTTGATTCCTGGCCCTCTGATGGAGTTTCCAGAGCTGTCATCATAGATGCCTCTCTTTCTTACTAAAATTTTAAAAAAGCATAGGTTATGCTCTCTGGTATCATCTGTTCCTAAAAATGCAAGATACCATTTTATGATTATTTACTAAAGGGAAAAATGATAATTATCCTGCAAAACTTCCACAGATTAACCATCTCCAAACCCCAACTCCCACTATTACTAGTTCCCACTTTCCATCGAGAGTAAAGACAAATATTCGAAGTTTCTACTTATATTATTAGGTGTGTTCTAACTTTTAATAATGTTGGGAAACTGAATGACATCTTTTTGTTGTTTTTCAAATTATGGCATTCCTTTCTGTTGTTGTTGTTCACTTATAAACCACCTTCTTCCTTTGTACTCACTGACTAGAGAGATACATGTGACATCAAAAAATGTCATGCCAGGCCATACAGTCTCACCACCAAATGTTATTGGTAACATGTGATGATGACAAAACCCACGGCACACAAAAATGCAGTCATCGGTTTGAAGTGTATTTTGGTTTTGAATTCAGCAGAATTCACACACATATGTGTTCTATCTGAGTACTAAGATTTTGAAAGTATAAATCAACACATTAAACATGAATGAAAATGTAGATAATTTACATCTATGTTATAATGTATGTATATATTGATCTATATCCTGACAACAAAAAGTATTACGTATCGTAAATGATATCCAATGACATCCCCATATGTGGCTTAATATAATATAATGACAGTGAGTTTAACCTTCAAAGTAACAACCCATCATAAGGAACTAAGAACAGTAGAGTTAGAAAGGAACACTATATTCATTTGCCACTTCTGAGATGAAGAAATTAATCAACTTATAAAACACCATCCTCCCTAAATCTCTTCATTATGCATCTTATCCAATCTTGCTATTATATTAAATTGCAACACATTAGAAAAATAAAATAGTTATTTACTAGCTTTATGTATCACTTGCCTAATTGTATGGAATATAGCAGAGATGATCAGCTCATTGTGAACTGCTACAGCCATGTAGCGTGGCTCATGAAATGCTGATGGGACTGTCCGCACTGCGTAGCAGAGATAAACACCCCACAAGAGGAACAAAAATTCAGCTGTGAGAAGAAAAACAAACAACTTTCTATTAGTTTTATAGGTGAAGAAAAAACTAAAATTTAAGTTCTTTAGCATGCACTTTCTATATAGAAACACAAATTTAGAAATAGATGCATATAAAATATTCACATATGAATATATATTGCATATACTTGTTTTTAAATTTTATTCAGTGTATAGAAGATTTTTCAAAGGTATATTTTATTTTATTATTTTTTAAACTGTGTCTAAGATTTTGTTTTTGCTAATAGCTAAGTTTTTAAAAAAATTATAAAATAACTTTCCACATTGCCAACTGAAGGTTAAGATGTTCATAGAGCATCTGACTCAAAATAAAGTCATCAAAGCAACAAAAGGCTTATAATGTGTCTATATGTAGCTTCTAGAAATTTAGGTTGTTACTGTATTGAGTCTAGTTCAATACATAAAGATATTCATTGCCAAAAGTGTGAGCAAATAGGTTGCTAAATATCCAATGCCATGTTTTGTAAATGAACCATTATTTCTCCACACATAACAGATATTATCTCTTTTGTGGGTGGACTAAAATTCACAATCATCTTGTTTGCTGGCTCAGGCCAGAAGAGGCAAGCACAGTGTAGCGGTTAAAGATAAGGACTTCAAAATCACACTAGATTCGAGTGGGAATCCTGGCTCAGTCCGTAATTAACTTTGCATAATCTGAGGCAATTTAACCTCTGTCTACAGTTTCCTTATCTGGAAAATGAGGATAATAAGAGTATATATTTCATGGGATTATATACTAATGAAATCAAATAATTAATATAAAGCACTTAATATAATTTCTGACATACTATGTTAGATTAATTAATTAATTAATTAATTAAAAACTGTAAACATGCCCTAGCTGGTGTGGCTCAGTAGGTGGGGGCATTGTCCTGTAGACCAAAGGGTCATGAGTTCAATTTCCCTCTTTCCTTCTCTCCCCTACTTCCTCTTTCACTGAAAGCAATAAGAAAATGTCCTTGGGTGAGGATAAAAAAAATTAAATGTTAAATAAATGATTCTAATTGTTTAACATCTCATTTTACATTTTTCCAGACTGAAAATTGCTATTTTAACTCATTCTGACCAATAACTGTTACAATCCATTTTATCTGTTTTCCTGACATGACCTCATGGAAAGATAGTATCTAATTAATAAGCAGAAAGCTCTAATTTGGAGGAAACATTTTATCAAATGCATTACCTAGAGGTAACCTACTTATATACTGAAATACTATTTCCACTCTCATGTTTTTACCTGCCCAAGTTTTAGCATATTTCTACTAGGATTGCAATAATAGGTAGTACCACAATAGGTAGTACCACACTTATTGAAAATCCCTTAAAAAATAACTGTCAAGAGTTACTATAAAATCCTGATGTGGTCATAAGCCAAAGGCAAAAATAAATCTCACTCAAAGGTCTCTGTGGGGCTCAAGGTTTTGCCTCTAGAACACAGGTGTGAAAACCACTGCTAAATTTAAGCCAAAATAGGAAAGGAAAAGACTCATATTAACATTGTTGCCATTGGCTACTTAGATTCTGGCAAGCCTACCACTCCCGGCCATCTGATTTACAAATGTGGTGGGACCAACAAAAGAACCATGGAAAAGTCTGAGAAGGAGGCTGCTGAGATGGGGAAGGGCTCCTTCAAGCATGCCTGGGTCTTAGATAAACTGAAAGCTGAATGTGAGTGTAGTAACACCATTGATATCTCCCTGTGGAAATGTGAAACCAGCAAGTATTGTGTGACCATCATGGATGTCCCAGGACACAGAGACTTTATCAAAAACATGACTGCAGACACATCTCAGACTGACTGTGCTGTCCTGATTGTTGCTGCTGGTGTTGGTGAATTTGAAGCAGGGGTCTCCAAGAATGGGAAGACCTGTGAGCATGCCCTTCTGGTTTACACACTGGGTGTAAGCAGCTGATTGTTGGTGTAAACAAAATGAATTCCACAGAGCCACCCTACAGCCAGAAAAGATACAAGGAAATTGTCAAGGAAGTCAGCATCTGCTATAAGAAAATTGGCTACAATCCTGACACTGTAGCATTTGTGTCAGTTACTGGTTGGAATGGTGACAGCGTGCTGGAGCCAAGTGCTAAAGTGCCTTTGTTCAAGTGATGGAACCTGCTGCTTGAAGCTCTGGATTGCATCCTACCATCAACTCATCCAACTGACAAGCACCTGTGTCTGCCCCTCCAGATGATTATAAAATTGGTGGTATTGGTACCGTTCCTGTGGGCCCAGGAGAGACTGGTGTTCTCAAACCCAGCGTGGTGGTCATCTTTGCTCCAGTCAATGAACGTTTCAACTGAAGTAAAGCCTGTTGAAATGCACCATGAAGCTTGGAGCAAAGCCCTTTATGAGGATAATGTCAGCTGCAATGTCAAGACTGTCTGTCAAAGATGTTCATTGTGGCAATGTGTCTGGTGACAGAAAAATGACCCACCAATGGAAGCAGCTGGCTTCACAGCTCTCAGGTGATTATTGTGAACCATCCAGGCCAAATCAGTGCCAGGTGGACACCTGTGCTGGGTTGTCACAGAGCTCACATTGCTTGCAGATTTGCTGAGCTGAAGGAGGCAACTGATTATCCTTCTGGGAAAAAGCTGGAAGGTGGCCCAAAGTTTTTGAAATCTGTTGATGCTGCCAATGTTGATATGGTTCCTGGCAAGCCCACGTATGTTGAGAGCTCCTCTGACTATCCTCCTCTGGGCTGCTTTGCTGTTCATTATGTGAGACAGACAGTTGCTATAGGTGTCATCAAAGCAGTGGACAAGAAGGCAGCTGGAGCTGGCAAAGTCACCAAGTCTGCCCAGAAAGCTCAGAAGGCTAGATGAATATTATTGCCATTATCTGCCACCAAGTCTTAATCAGTGGTGGAAGAACAGTTTCATAACCATTTGTCTCAACTGGCCACTTAAGTTTAATAGTAAAAGACTGGTTAATGATTACAATGCATCATTAAAACCTTCAGAAGGAAAGAAGAATATTTTGTGGACCATTTGTGTGTGTGTGTGGCAGTTTTAAAATTACTAGTTTTTCTAAGTAACTTTACCAAAAATCTGTCACAGAACTTTGAGACCCACTAAAACAAAGTGTAATGTGAAAAAGAAAAGATTTTCATATTTAGTGGAGGTCCCAATTATTCAGTATGTTAGCCACTGGCCATGTGCTATGAATGTTCTTTCCAGCTGAGCTCTACTGAATCAGGAAATGCTGACATCTTCATGTAAAACTTCCTGTTCTAACCCTTGTTATTCTGTCCATAGTACAGCTACTGCATCTTTATCAGTGTTGAAACCGCAGAGTCATCTTTCATTGGCACATTTCTACTTGGAGTTATTTTTTTTTTATGTATCATTCCTCTCAATGCCCATAATTACAATCCTTGCCTAAGCCCCTATCAGTTCACTCATTTGTTACAACTATTTTTCAACTACTGCCACATCGAAACCTGGCCTTATCCTGTGTTAATCCTTTCTCCTTACAACTGACAGGTTCATTTTTTTAAAACTCCACTTTAATTATATCAGGATTTGTTCAAAATTCTGCAACCCCATTTTGGTTAACTGATTCATATTTCCATTAGAATATTCACTCATACTCATTTAGGACCCTGGAAATAACTCCTGACACAAAAGTAGGACAATAAGGGGTTCCTGACAGAGCAGGCATATCATCACTTTCAAGACTTTCTTGATGGTCAGATTTTATGTTTTCCACCCATATCGCTTGGCTTTTTTGTGTGTGTGCTTTATATTTCTTAGACTCTGACTTCTTGTCTAGTCTCTGACACTCAGGCCAGCCTTTTGTGAGGTATTGCATGCATGTTCAATTAGAAACCTTCAGTGCCTCCCTATTGTTTTACGGATGCTTGGTTCTGGCATTCCAAGCCCCCATGACTTTATGTTATAAGAGGTCTATAGGAAAAAAGTCCAACCATTGTTAATATAACAAGAGGGGTGTCCATGACATCAATGTAACCTGGCAGCTAAGGAATGCACATGTGTGAACAATGACAATTTCACTGTACTAGCCAGTGGAGATGGTAGACTCAATTGAGCGAGCATGTGTACTGTGTGGCTGTCACATTCAAAATGACTGAGCAAGAGCAATGAATCTGCATCAAATTTTGCATTAAGCTTGAACAGTCCTCCATGGAAACTATCTGGATGATTCAGAAGGCCACAGCTATGGGCAACTGGTGATTGGCAGCTTCATCATGACAACATGCCCGCTCATGCATCACATCTGGAGCAGAGAGAGTTTTTTGGTGAAACATCGAATCACCCTGGAGACTCATCCCCACTAACAGCCCAGATTTGGCACCCTGCGACTTCTTATTTTTCCAAAAACTAAAATCACCTTTGAAAGGGAAGAGATTTCAGACTGTAGATGAGATTCAGGAAAAAACCCCAAACAAATGGGGCAGCTGATGGCAATTGGGAGAACTGTGTGAGGTCCCAAGGTGCCTATTTTGAAGGAGACTGAGGCATCACTGTTCTGTGTACAATGTTTCTTGTATCTTGTTTCTACTTCAATAAATGTACCTATTTTTCATATTACATGGCTAGATATCTTCTGAACAGACCTTGTATATCCAACTTGATCTCCCCATGCTCCCCTACATGGACTCTGAGCTGACCAAGGAAGACTCATTGCCCTCCGAACACTCCAAATGTCCTTTTTTCTAAGTCTTTGTTCAAACTATTGCTCACACAAGAAATCTCTTCTCACCCACATTTCCATGTCTTAACCAATTTTTCAATATTTGATTAAGGTCCCACCTTCATCAAAAGGCCACCTGAAATGCTTCTGACTTACATTGAATTTTCCTTCTTCTAATGGGGTTTTAACTATACTACATAATGCAGAGAACAATGCCACATAATATGTAATTGGGAAAATATTGTTCATGGAGACTAGTAACATTTTTTAGTCATCCCCCAGCCCCAAATAGTTATGATCTCCTTCAGGGCAAGA